GGGGGGGGGGGGGTTTAACCCCATGTTGGTGGGAAATATACATAACAATTTACCATCATTTGGTTTATTAAAATAATGGTGAAAAATATTTTAAAATCGGAACAATTTTTATTGAGTTTGAGGCCCTTTCTACACTGAGGGAAATAATGCATAGTAAAAATGAATACTTTATATTTGATTGTCGTTTAAAAATGTTCGTATTTAAAAATAATATTTTCATACAAAATTTATTACGCACGTATTTGACTGTTCACATCTGAGTATGCATATGTAAGTGTACATACGCACCCCAAGCATGCAGAGCGCCGCACTGAGAGCGGTGACAAAACACACATACACACATAGCAAGAATGGTAGAATGAGAGTAGAATTCTCAAGAATTTCTGTCAATCGTGCATACATAGTACATACATGTTTATCCGGACAAATCGCGTTCTGTGGTGTTGATGGATATTCAACATTTGAAAGGAAATTTATATGTCTGGATGTAGCTGAGTGCGCAAAGATGCTTGCCACAAGTTGTTGGTATCCGGAGATGGTCGGGTTCGAATTCCGCTGCAGGCAACATGCAAATAAATTTTTTTTTTTAGTTTTTTCTTGATTATTCACTTCTCGGATGCTTTTTCAGTACGAACGCGGTCATTTTAATATGCGCGTAATTGAATTGAATATTTACCGATATACAGTACTTTCGTTGACGTTTATAGTAAGATCAATTACGTTTCTATTTGATTTTAATATTTTTTTCCCTCAGTGTAATAGCTCCTATCCCAGTCACCGCGGTGAAGATGTGGAGATAGTAGATATAAATTCTACCTATGGGTAAATTATTGTTTTTCGACAACATTTTTTCATTAGAAAGAAACGGCCTCAAGCTCGATAAAAATTGTTGAACATAATGGTTAAAAAGCTAATAGTGACCAGCTTATTTTCCTTGCGAATTGGGGAACGAAGGGTATTGTGGATTCAGCGGATAATGGGTTCCACCTGTTAAAAAAAAAAAACGAAAGTCATTTAAAATAGCGATTCAAGCACAAATGAACTCTGTGAAGGGAAGCCAAAAAATAAGTATATTTAAAATTGCAGTCAAATATTGAGTTTGAAAAGATATTATAGGATGCATTGGATTTTGACCCCTTTCGATGAAAGGATTGCTGCACTGTATGAAACATACGTTTTATGCAACGTACGTTTTATGTCAAGTCCCATATTTGCACATTACACGTTTTTATTCTCAAAACATTTTTTTTTTTAGATTTTCGATGCTTATTATTTTTTTTTTGAAACGTACAAAATTAAAAATTTACACTAGCGAGTACTGTGGCTTATTCGTTTTTTCGTAGTGTCAGCTATTGTTGCTATTAATTTTATAATATTTTATTTTTATAATTTTCTGGAATCATGAGAAAGATATATGTTGTGCAAGAATTCAATGTACAGTTGGTGTACCACAATAACTTATGTAAATGGTACTTCCTTTTGAGGCCTATAATATATGCTCAAAAAGTTTATTTAACTTGTTCCTCAAAATAAAAAATAATAAAAACAAATGGCTAAGTGACCATCAAGTCAAGGTACAGGAATGGTATTTTCAGAGATAATAGTCGAGAGTTCTAGCTTTAATTTAAGCCACAAAGGTTCTATCACCTTTTGTTTTTTTGCAAGAGCTTCTAAAGTAGATATTAAAAAAACTCGACTTTTTGACAGGCTTACCTAATATTCACGCACGCCTCCAATTTACTGTCAAAAATCTCATGCACATACAACAAGCCAATTTCGGGTGACGCAAAACAACCAATTCGATGGCATGCGTACCAAAACGCAAGTTTCTTCAACGCAAAGGTTTTTATAAAGCGTGGCGAAGCAAGCCAGGCATTTGCTAGTTATTAAAATAAATTTGTATTGCTGTTCGCTTCCATTTCGGTCCACCGCTCAATTTTATTATTAAATAAATATCGAATAAACCTAACGGAGTTTTTCTACTTTTCAATACGGTTTAATCGAGTGCGATATAAAGACTGAGGAATAAACGTTAGAAAGAAATATGTGTTGAATCAAACCGGTTTTTTGTTAAAACGGTTTTTTCGTAGTTATAAACAAGGTATATAATCGATGATATACCTTGTTTATACCGACACATGCAGCGCTTTGATCCAGTTCGCTGTGATTCAAAACGGATGCATAAACCAAATTTCAATACGCTCTGAATTTCAAAAGTGTATTGATTCGAACTTCATTTCAAATCGGTTTTTCATTTCATACATTTCGCGCGAAGTGAAAATAGGCTGGTTTTATTTATACAGCCCGTTTCAAATTTGAATTATTATTAAAATAAATTTGAATCACTGTTCGCTTACAGTTAGGTCAATCGCGCAAATCAATTATTAAAGACATGTCGAAATAAAACAACAAATTTTGTAAACTTTTTAGGGATCGATGCATCGATACATCGACTATTTATACATCGAGTGAACAATTTTCGATCCATCGAAGCAAAACATCTATATTTTCGATGCATCGATGTTTTTCCGACATCCCTAATACTTTTGTGAACGGTTTCAGCGAGTGCGCTGTAATGACACAGGTATAAACGCTTGAAAGAAAATGCGGTTACGGTTATGGCAATGGTTATGGCTATAGCGTTATGGTATGTCATCACTAATTTAACCTTTACTCGGTGGTTCAATGGCCGTAGCGCAAACTCTCATCATTAGTTGGAGCTGCCATTATTCACGGTGTGGTTGTTGCTCCATCCGCTGTCCCTGTATGCGCTACCGCCGCTGTTTTATTGAGTGCGGTGTTGCAGGATTTTTGCCTATGCGCCGCCAGTTGCGTACGTGACAAGATGCCGCAGCCGCATAAGAGGCAATGATAGTGTGTCTGTTTCAAGTTGTATGCGCAGGAATTGGTCGCGGCCGGAAACTCGTCACCGGTCCGCGAATACTCCACAGGGGCGGTCTTCGACGTTGTAAGGCCAGTGCCGTTTCTTCCGCTTCGTACCTCGTTCGGGAGGTGGTAACAGTTTTCCACACTAAGCACTTTGGAAAAGCCTGCCAAACGTATGTACTCCACTTTGCTGTGGTGCCGTCGATGCGCCACCACTTTGTTGGTGTCCGAGCAAGTAAAGACGCACTTCAAGCAATGAAAATGGGACGACTTTTTTGCAACACTGCATTTCGAGCTCTTTGTCGGCACGGATTTAGCGTTAAGCTGATAGGCGCAGTCTGTGTACGCACATTGCATATTTGCGCGAAACTGTTGAAAATCGTTGCCCATTAAGGTGTCGAGACGGTCATGACGCGCTGTATGCTGCACGAAACGCGTCTTGTCACAGAAGCTGTAGTAGCAGTCCACACGACTGCAATGAAAGTGGGACTGTCGTTGACGGTAGCCGCATTTCTCAAAGCCACAATCCTCGCTGAAGCGATACTTAATATAACCGTTGGGTGTGCTGCGTTCGCCTTTGGGCCGTAGCGCCGTTGGCAATAAGCCCTCACTGGTCAAAACTCCTCTGTCAGTGGACGTTGGTTCATTTGAATGTCGTGTATGATTTACGTCCGCGCGGGCGGACGCAGTTGATAACGCTGCGATGGCAGCGTAGTCGACGTCGGCAGCTGCAAAGTTGGCGCAATGTAATTGGGGGGATTGCAGTAGGGAGATAGAGGATGCTGCCAGCAGAAAGGATAAGTACGGCATCATGTTGTTAACTACCGGCGTTGCTGTCGGACTACTATTGCATACTGGACTACGTTGATGCTGTTTCAGCTTCTGCAGCTGAAGCTGGTAGAGGTTTAGGAAGTGTTTAAATTGATTGACAACGTCTGTGCTTTCGAGAACGCCGATGTTATCTTGTGTTGATATTTCATTGGAGTCAGCTTTATGCCTACAAATTCCAGCAGCGGTATGGATATTCGAGTATTCGTTCTTGCAAACTTCACGAATAGAAAACTCATTCTTGGCGTGTAAACTTAGATCTTGTGGCATGCAGATGTCGTCACTACTGCCATATGTTGGAAGAAATTCGTCTGGGAATTCCTTGCTCTCGACCAGTGTGAGCTTGCTTACATAATTTTTATCAGAGTCCATTAAAGGCCAGGTAGCAAGACCAGTTGCTTGTTGGTTGCAGCTAAAGCTTTCCGCCTCGTTATTGTCAGATACTCGTATTTCAGTGGACGTTGGATAAAATGTACCAGCAGCGCGAATGACTAAATATGGAAAAAAATGAGGGTTTAGCTTTTCCAATTCAAAAACAGTTTATTGACATTACTAAATGCCACTTAAATAATTTTTTATTTATGGGGCAAAATTCGTCAAGTGTACCAGGAAAACATTTTATGGCAGCATTTTGTTCAAACTCCACCACGATGCTGCTATGGTACTGGTAACCAATGTGCTAAAGAATTTTTTTCGACCGCAGTTTTTTGTCGAGTTATACGAGTTTAAAATTGCAAATTTAAGCCTTTTTCTTAAAGTCACAACTTTTCTTAAAATTCTGATCTTATGTCATGCTTATGATAGAGAATCAAAAATTGCTGACCTATTAGAACTTTTTCCATGCTTTTTGGTGGAAGCTATAATTTTTTGCAAAAAATTTGCAACACAAAAAAATTGTATTTGCATTTTTAAACAATGTACCATTTTGGTTTTTTTTTTGCAAAATGGCTTATTTCGATAGCTTAGTTTACGTAAAATTTCGCCTGACTCTGAGTACGAAATTAAAATGTAAGAGAGTAGATCAGTTTTTGAGATATAGCCGTACTTCGGGGTTTTAAAGATCTGAAAAAGTGCACCCGCTTAATTAAAATTTTTTAGATATAGTTAGCCAGCCTCAACATTTTGAATACGAAATCGGAAAACAAAAAAGTAAAATTGTTTTTGAGATTTAGCCAAAATTCGCGTTTTTGAGATCTGAAAAAAGTGCACTCACTTAATTGCAATTTTATTTGGATGCAGTTGACCAATCTTAAATTTCTTTTTGTATTAAACAAAGGTTATTAAATTTTCTATCATACTCGTCAACAAGATTATCTAACTGGAAAAGCAATTTAGGAGCTATACACATTAGTGTTCCCAGATATTTTTTCCAGCCATACAGGACAAATGCATAATTTGTCCCAAAAATATGGGTTTTACAAAAATGTAACGGGGCAAATGAGAAATAAGGGATTTGCTTTAAAGGCCCGACTACGAACCATATTTTAACAAAGGTGATCCATTTCCACGAAGTAATGCTCAGATTAGTTATAAGCAGGGAAAGGATTTTTAGGACCTAAAAATCTATGAAAAAGGGAAAATAAAATAACGAAATAGGCTAGAGAAGGAAAAATAGAATAGCGAAATAGGCAGGAAAAGGCACTAGAAATCGCAAAAAAGGCAAAAGAAGGCACTAAAAAAGACCAAAACCGAAAAATAATCAAAACATATATTTATTTCAGAAATTTTTATTTTACAAGTAAAAATAGAAAAACTATGAACTAGTTTCATTATATGAAAAATTTATACTTTGAATCTTGGACTAATTCCTCCTTTCGAGTTTTTAACTCACAAAACTATAATCTCTATAGTTGTGATAACATTGAACCACAAAATACATTTTAAAGATTTCTGGCAGCATTTTTATTCAGTTTTATCGAAAATAAGTCCTGAATGAACTAAACGTGCGCTCGACGTGAGTTGATACAAGTCGCGCCCAATATATTTCTATATGTATATATTTCTGTTGCAAACATAGTTTGCCTTGTGCCGTACTAGAAAGTAGACATGGGCACGGGCCTAAATTTTAAGGCCCGGCCCGGCACGAGTGCAAAATTAACTTTCAAAAACACACACGAGCCCGCAGGTTAAGAATTTTAGTGGGGCCCGGCCCGGCCCGGCACGACGGGACACGTCCCACGGAAATAAAGTCAACTTTTATTGTATGTATACATATGTACATATTTTTAATTTTGTGTTTATGTATGTATATTTACTTAAGCGAATCAATTTTTTACACCAAAGATTTGTATAATATATTTTCTGGGAAGTAGAAAAAGTGGAAGGTATTTTATGTACAGATATGTAAACAAAACTTCTAAGTATCTTATTTTTTCTATCGGTCTCCAAATATTTCTTTTTTGCTTTTCTCTTATCAAAAGAGTTTTAATATGTACTATTTTTTTGTATAAAAACAAAAGATGCTTTCCATTTCCAGACAACCGGTCAGGTACGTGCATGATTATTAATTTCGACAAAACTCAAATACATTGTTTGTTGGTCCAAATAATGAGACACGTACTTTTTTTTTGGCTCGGAAAAAATTTTCGGCCGAATTAAACGCGATTTTGTTTTTCAGGCAAAAATCGATTATTCGAATTGACAGTGAGAATGTTTTTTTAAAATGCCCATAACTTTGTCAAAAGTTAATAGATTCCAACAATGTTTTTACTCAAATGTCAGTAATTCTTGTCACTTCAAGATAGAATGATATAATTATTGATTTTCATTATTTAAAATTTTTTATTTAACAATAAACAAAAAGTGCATATTTTTTTTTAAATTTAATTTCTCAAAAAGTGTATTTTTTTTTTCTCTGAAACTTTTTTACCGGGAAAGAGATACTTTGAACTACAATCAACCCAAATCTCTAATAGCGAAGATTTTTTTTCTGAGTTATGATATTTTATAGAAAATATACGTTTTTGTGGTACATACTACAATATTCTTATATTGTTTAACTAAAACAAAAATTACAGTTTTGCGCGACTGCAGTTCAGACGTGTTTTTCTTCGCTCCGCGCTTATCTGGCTTTTTAAGCATTCTTTGTGAATTTTAATTCGCTTTGTTAGTGCGAAACTCATAATATACTGAGATAGTGACTCTTAATAATTTGAATTTCACTGACTCAATATTTATTAAATGTAAAAATATTCATACAATGCCTTGTCTTTGTGGTCAAAAAGTTGATCGTACACAATCTAAGGTGCAGTGTGACGGGTGTAAAAACTTATTTCACCTCAAATGTGTTGGTATTTTCCAGGCCGATCTGGACTTTTTACTCTCATCTAATAAGCCATTTCTTTGCAAAAACTGTACGGATGACCGTCGTTCATCTCTCCGCTGCCCTTCCACACCCGTTGGCTCGGGTGGGAGCACTAGTGCTAAAGAAGCTCTTAATTCAGACTCTCTAAGAGATGTCTCAAGTGATATCGCTACTGAGCATGACTTTCAATTGAAATCTACACTGCTAACTGTGGTTAAAGAACTTTCTGCTCTCAGGGCAGAAAATGCTCATATCTTGTGTTTGATAGGTGCTTTGCATGAAGACAAAATGCAGCTAATAAAGAAAAGTGATGATTTGCATGTAGAAGTTCGTGTTTTGCAAACTAAGCTAAGCGACAGGGATGCCGACGTATCGTCGTTGACTGCGGAGATAAAAAGCCTTCGGGGCATTGTTGACAACTTTACTGGCCTCAATGCAAACCGCGGTATTGCTGTTAACAAATCCGCCGGCTCTCTGCATGGGACTAATGTTACTGCTGCTCATGCTGAACAGTGTTTACCTACACCAACGGAAACTCCCTCATCTGCTCCGTCTACTATGTGCACGGTATCGAATGCTGGTCTGCTCCCCAATGGGTCTGCTAAGCGCATGGCGATCAATACCAATGTTAGCTATGCTGCTGCTGCTGCCGGTACTAACTCAATTAAAGCTAATGTTAACAGCTCTGTTATCACTGCTGCTGGCGCTGTTGTTGATGCCAGGGTTCGGATTTGCCTCATTTTAGCCCCTCGCTCGCTCGTTAGTTTACTCCGAGCTAGCGCAACTCACGAGCAACACGCGAGGCTGTTTGCAAACGAGCATTCGTTAAGTACGAGCGCACGCGCTGAGCAGCCAGCGAGCGAGTAAGCAAACGAGGGCAGCGCAAGAGTAGAGCGGCAAGCAAACGAGGGCCTCATTAGCTCTGCCCTCGCGAGGGCGTCGTTGCGAGCGAGGCACTCATTTGCAGCAGCAGACGAGCGAGGCGAGTAAACGAGCGAGGCAAATGAGGCGAGCAAACGAGCGAGGCAAATGAGGCAAGCAGATTAGACAGGCAAACGCGTTGTTTGGTCGGCAGAAGTGTATGGGATAAAAATTGCAGCAACTAAGAATTTCGAGTAAAGGATTGTATGCACGCATGCAGATATGTATATACATACATATGTATATACACATATGTTTTTGTATTTATTTATGTATATATTCTCATGCTCAGAAGAATAGATTCGTGCTATTTTGACCAGTTTTATCTACTAGGTAGGCACATATGTGCATACATATTTATGTAGGTATAATGTTTTTAATGTTCAATAGTTTCTTATAAAATTTCAACTTATACACTTAGGTCTCTTTTTATGCGGTTCTTTTTTATGCGGATTTGAATTTATGCGGTTTTTCAAACACTTTTTTTGCTGTAGCGATTTTGCTTTTTTGGGAGCTTTTATTACTTTTTTTCAATATGTAAGGGGCAATGCTGCTGATAAATAATCTTTGTATTCTTACATACAAGTAATTACTAAGTAATTTGACTAAGTAACTATGTTACATATGTATAAATGAGAATATAATATATATTAAAATCATTATTTTGTCTTTCATTTCATAAATGAGTAGGACATCAGCATTTTCAAATGAATATTTGTGGTTTAGCCCCCATACATATGTATGTATGTAGGATAATACAAGCTACTATTTGATAATTAAGGTTGGTCCACATAGAACTTTCGCGTTGACTTTGTAGTTGGCGTTGGTTTGACAGAACGCAAGTTAAAAGTATGCGTTCTACAATGAAGCTTGGCAGAGACTACCTTGGGCACTAAATTAACATATTAACGAGAGATAAATTAATATTTCATATCAATAATTGCATGAAATATTATATTTCTTACCTTAATTTGATTAAAAAAAAAACATTCCATTTAATTTTATTTATTTGCAACAGCTGCCGACCGACGCAGCGATCTTTCTGCTTTGTGTTGGCTTTAGCGTTGCCAAACGCGACGCCAACGCAACGCCAAAGTTGTATGCGAACCGGTCTCTATTCTTTGTTTACGCAAATTTTCCCATGTCTACACATCCATATATACATGCATACATATGTACATATGTCCTTCAACAACAGGCCACAAATAAATTTTTTCACCAAGGACTATATTCTA